CTATTAATCACCTGAGTGACCTTGGGCCACTCTTCTCCAACCCATCTGACAGGGTTGTTATTTGGAGGAAAATAGGAGGAAGAAGGAATATTATATATGTTGGCCTTATTAGAGAGATTGTCAGGGAGGGCAGACCATTTTTATCTAGGCTTCCTCCTCCGGGACACTAACCCGGTTACCACGTATGCAGTGGCAAAAGTTCTGTGTGGCTGCAATGTCCATAAGAAAAAAATTGGCTACAGAAGTATAGTTGTCATCTGGTTCCAATTATCTGGACATACCTTTAACAATCTTTAGACCGTTATGTTGTTATCCACTTTTAATGTCAATACTTTTTAATTATATTTTAATGTTAGTATTTTTTAACACAGTGTAAAAACTAATGTATATTGCTGGTCTTTGACCGTAATAAAAGATTTTACTAGAAAGGCTTCAAAGCCTTTCTGTAACTCACACTAATTCATAATCAACAAAAGCTAAGGATCAAAATCAAATCTGGTGTTTGCTTATACAAGATGGGTTAATGCTTCCCACACTTGATTTTGATTTAATGTCATAGATCAGGGGTCGGCAGTCTTAAACATTCAAAGAGCCATTTGGACCTGTTTCCCACAGAAAAGAGAACACCGGGAGCCACAAAACCCTTCCCATGCCTGACTATTTCCTGAGCAGCCACAAAATTAGCATATGTAGTTGAATTAAACATTCTGTTATCTTCTGAAACTTTTGTTTTCTTGGATTTATCCATGGTTGGCCTTCCAGGGTCAAGGAGCTCAATAAATTACGTTTTGGCGGGTGTCGCACATTGGCAGTTGTGACACATACTTTGAACGACAGAGAGCCACAGCAGAAGGATGAAAGAGCCACATGCGGCTCCGGAGCCGCAGTTTGCTCACCCCTGTCATAGATGAATCAAATTTACTGTTGTAATTTCATGCATTTTCTAAACTCTTTGAAATCTTAATGTTCGATTAAAGCTTTTATTGCTTTGATGAAGTAAGCAGTATGTAAACCCAGAAAAGCAACTTAAATTTTTGTTTCTGCCCCCATATTTAGAAGCAGTCCTTCACTGAAACATGTGCTATGAGGATTAGAAACATGGTGAGACTTTTTTTGAAAAAACAATTTTAAAAGAATATTAAATGTATATGTAAACAGTACTTTTTATTGTCCTCACATACATTTAAATTTTGTAATCTCCATTTGTGTTGTTGACATAAAAAATGGATAGTTTATGAACTATAGTTTATAAATCCACACAATAAATCCAGGCTTATATCAACACGAGATAAAAATGAGCATATTCTTGTCGAGAAATCTAGTTTATTTCAATCCTAAGGAAATATTCACTTCTTTCTTCCCCTTTTCTGCAAATGAAATTGGTATAAAATAACAGATTTAGTAATGAATTCTTATGCTTTTTTTTAAGTACAAATGTGTAGATAGTAACATAAGGACCCAGTGGGACAAAAGATTTTTCAATAAAAAATAAATACTAATATCACACCCATATATATTTATTAGGTTTTTTTCTTGTTCATGTAAATGTTCAACTGTATGGTGGATGGTTTTTTTCTGGTTTAGAGCACTACCGAATGATCACCTCATCAACCTTTTGATTCTAATGTAAATCATATCTAAGATTGATCTAAGTCTGATTTATTTATTTATTTATTTATTTAACATTTATATAGTCCTCCATCTTAAACAACCCTGGACAACTTACAATAAAGCAATATAAAATCAACAGCGATAAAACTAAAAATAGAAAAACCAAAGCCATAGCCATACTGCTTTAATGCACCCACGTTCTCATCCCACCCAGAAGGATAGACAGATAGCCTGTTGAATATCAGGGCCCCCTACTGCTGAACACAAACCATCCTCACAACAACCTTTCTTTAAAAGGACAGATTGGGGTCTAGACCAAAGTTGTCAAGAATTGTTGGGTCCAGTGGCCTCTTGAAAAGAGGGTACATCAAGGTATATGGTATACTCTTTCCTTCAAAAAGGCATTAGCCACAGCTGGGATTGTCATCTTCCAAAACTCTTACCTCCTTGAAATGCCACCTCCAAGGAATCCTTAACCAACCAAGAGGGGCATGAATCTAGAACACAGGTGGCTGAAATCACAGGCATGAAGATCCTATCTAGTCCCTTACACCAATCAACTCAAACTCCTCCCAAATAATAGGGCTCAAATGTCCCACCGTGGCACGACAAAACCGCGCTCCACTAAAGCGCGCCCGATTAAACCGCGTAGCTGACGTCATCAGCAGGGCGACAACAGCGACCGCGGGGGAAAAAGGGCGCTTTGAAAGCAAGCCGATTCAAGTTAAGGTAAGGGTTAGGTTTAGGGTTAGGTTAAGGGTTAGGTTAAGGGTTAGGT